CCGGAGTCTCAAACTGGATTCCTTAAAGGGCCGCCGTTCAGGAAGCGGTAGCGAGCGCTGATTGGCTGAGCGGACCCCGTCGGATGGGCGAGGCCTGCATAGTAAAGAGGCCCCGCGGACGCCGATTGGCTAAGACTCGCCTAATTGGAAGGGTTCGAATCTAGTGGAGGATGGCGGCCGCGGTGACTTTTTTCCGCCGCCTCGGGGCGCTGAGCGGGGCATCCGCGGTGGGGGCAGCCGCTTATGGGGCGCACGGTGGCCGGCTCGGTCGGGCTTGCTTGGTAAGGACCGGACTGGCTGAAGCTGGGATCCCACCAGTTGGGGGCGCTTGGAGAGAGAAGCCGGCTGCAAATTGGGGAGGGGTCTTTATGGGGGGGGGGTCTCTGCTTTACTCCGGGGGGGGGTAGATTGGGGGGTACAGCTCCTGAGGTGGGGGGGTGGCTGCTCGTTTTAAGAGGAAGGTGGCTTAGTGGCGCCATGCTGGCAGGCTGAAACGGTACACAGCAGGGGGCTGGACTAGAGAACCTCTTAAGGTCCATTCCAGGCCAGCTAGAGTCTGATTCTGGGCCTTTGCGGTGGGTGGAGAACCCCGTCAGGCAGGCATGACATCACCCCGTGAAGATGACCTCATTTGCAGGATGTCCCCAACGGGGGGGAAAACCTGAACCACCCACCGAATCTTTGGGGGTCCCCCTCCCCAGCTTGACCCCCCCCCTTTTTAAAGTGAGAGGCGGCGGTCCAAAAAGCAGCAGCACATAAAGAAAGCTTGTATAAGACGTTTTATAGATGGCACTTTGCACCAGCATAATTAGCTAAGATGTTCAAAGATAAATCAGCCAAATGCTGGAAGGGCCACCAGACACCTGGGAATATATTACCATGTGAGGAGGTCTTTTTTAAAAAATTAATATTTTTATTGTGCTTTTTTCACCTTTACATCTCTCCATCACATCTTTAGCAGTACTTCTGCGTCATTGTTACAAATACGGATCTGTATTCATTTCTATACATTTTTCTTATCTCTACTATAAACCTGTTAAGATATTTGGAGAATTTTAAATCCAAAAGAAAACAAATTGAACTTTTCATTCCAACCCACACAAGTCATGGTCAAGGATTGGCACGGCTTAGATGAATGGGGAACTGGGGAAGGAGAGAGACGACAGAAATATTGTCAAATACATGGAGGGACTACAACCCCCTTAAAATAACATGGAGGCCAAAAGAAAAAAAAAAGGAAAATATGGACATTGAATCCAAAGATCCTAAAAGAGGATTAAAAAAAGATTTAGAAATAATTTTTGAAGAAACAAAACTCACAGCAGGGTGGAGCCCATCAAATGGCTAGTATGATCTGCTGTTGTTGGGGCTGGGGTGGGAGTGGGGACCTGATTTATTATGTTTTATTTTTTTCCAGGTTTTGTTCTTTTGTACTTTGATTCTTTTTGTTACTTTTCTATTTTTTGTTTTAAATATGGTTTAATATTTTATAAGCCGCCTCAATTAACCATGGGTGAATAGGCGGCAATGTAAATTAAATAAATCAATAAAATGACCTGCAGATGGGATGGCAAGCCTTCTTGTAGGATAAAAGAAATAAAAAACATATTTTTATAGACACAAAATGAGGGATTCGTTGATAGATTTGGGAACTGGTTAGGAGAAAACACTATATGACAACACCTGGCTGGCTATCCACCATGGAGGCAAGGATCTATCCCAATACATTAGATGTAGGCAAAATGGTTAGGTATAATGAAATACTAGATAACTAGGGGAAATTAAAAAACTAACCAGGAGTTGAAAGATCAGGGAATATTTGTAGACTGGTGGCCATACCTGCAGCTGCAAACAAGATACAAAAAGGACGCAGAACAATATGGATTTGATAATGAGCCACAACAACTAGATAAAATTTTGGTAGGCCCGGAGGAGAAATTAATAACAAGAATATATATAACTACTTGCTAAGATTTGAATTGGAAGAGGAAGCAATAAAAGGGCCCATGATAGCATGGGCCAAAAATTTTGGACACAATATGTATTTAGAAGATTGGGAAAGAATTTGGAGCAGGAATTACAAAATAACAAGATCCGCAGCAGTTGAGGAGAATCAATTTGTTTTATCTCTGGCATTTGGCTCCAGTGAGATTGGCAAAAATATATCATGATTTGAAACCAAATTGTTCGAAATGTGGACATACAGTACCTTCTTCCATAGGTGGTGGCTTTGCCCTGAAGCTAAAAAATGTTGGACTAAAATTCGGAACTGGTCACAAGAAATAACGAATGGTCAAATAGAGGTTAAACCTGAACTGTTCCTTTTAGGGAAAATTAAGGGGAAATACAGTCAAGAGATAAAATATATGATCTTACACATATCAACAGCGGCCAAGATTGCTTATGCACAAGGTAGGAAGAGAGATAATGTACCACCAGATATATTAGTAATGTGGAGGTCTTTTATGGAAGCTAAAAAACATTGGGCAAAAATACACTCGTTTGGAAAAAAATAACACATATAGATTTGAAACCTGAAATATTTTTATTAGGGATGGTACCTGAAGGCTACAGTGAAGAAAAACCATATTTAATTATACATGTATTAACAGCAGCTAGAATTGTATTCGATAAGAATTGGAAGTGATAAGATACCGACAGAGGAAAAAGTAATCGAGAAAATATTTGAATGTAGAGATGAATGTGTTAACGCTGGTAATGAAAGAAAAAGGACAAACGGAATATTATACGGTATGGGATTTATTTTATCAATGGTTGGAAAGTAAAACAAATTAAAACGGCGTTGATGAAAATCTAGAGAAATAGGTTTAAGATTGTTAAAAATAAAACGTAATAGCTATAAGAAATGGGATTGTTATATTGGTAAAAAAATATTATTTATAATTGTAAGCAGAAGATGTACACAGTCAACACACGATTGAAATGGAATTATTGTAAATATAAAATAAAAATCTTTTAAAATAAAGACAGATGGGGCAACGTATTAGGAAACTCGGGGCTGGGGGGTGGAGAGGAATTTGAGGGCGAGACCTAGTCTCAGGACAAAGGTCTCCATTGGAGCTCCTTCCCACAGATTGGAGAATAGGCTTAAGCGCCCACCAACGGGAGGGTTAGATGTGTCATCACTTGGAGCGGCGAAAGGGGCGATGGCCGCTGCCCCGAAATGGTCGCTTGCCTTGGAAGTATCCTCTGTTTTTGTCCTTGAACTCGGATCTGTCTGGTTGCCAGTCTGGTCTATGGGTGTATGCCTTCTGGGGTTGAGGGGCATTAAACCCCCTGTCTGTGGGCTGAAAGGAAGCCCCACGGAAATTTTTTCCACGGCGGGCAGCTGGTCTACGTTGAGAAGGCAGGACCTTTCTCCCACGCCTAGTCTTCACCAGAAGGGAATCTAGGGCCTCTCCAAACAGCATGCCCCCCTTGTACGGAGCAGAGGCTAGTTTGGACTTATGGTTTGCGCTCACCTCCCAATGGCGAAGCCACAGTTGTCGCCGGGCCACCACCGAAGAGGCAAGGGCCTTGGAAGCAAACTTGGCTGCCCTCAAGGTGGCATCTGCAGAGAATTCCGTAGCCGCTATCACATTGTCGATGTCCTGGTGGAAGCGAAGGTCACCAGAGGGAATCCTCGCTTGCATCTGGCGGAGCCACATCAATGAGGCCCTGTTGAAAAATGAGGCAGCTGTCGATGTTTTGATTGCCATGGCAGCCGTCTTGTGCACGTTACAGAGGGTCTGCTCCACCTTCCTCTCCTCTGGGCTCAGTGCATCTTCACAGCAAGCCACAATGGTGGAAGATACCAAGGCTGCCACTGGACCATCTATAGTCGGTGGTTCCAGTGCGTGAGAAAAATCGGGGGCCATATTATATAACATTTTTTCGTCCTCACTTAGGGGAGGGCATGGCCCCGGTTGGGCCCATATCTTTTGGATCACCCTCTGGAATAATTCAGGGGAGGGGATTTCCTCGCTCTCTATGGTTGGCTGTGAAAAGAGCAACTCATTCGGGTCCACGGGCTCCAACGCTGGCTCCGCTCCCATACCTGTTGTGGCTTTGGCCTTGAGTAACAAGGATTTAAAGAGGGCTGGGTAAAAGAGCCTTCTGGTGGATCCTCTGTGTTGCTCTTCATGTTGGGGATTTTCCGGGGGTCCCGGAGCAGCCTGAGGTTTTTGTTGCAGGCCTGCCGCGATGCCCTGCGCTATGGCCTCCGATATCAGGATTTTCATCTGGTCAGAGATTTCAGGGCCCTGACTCTCCTGTGGGCCAAGTCCCGCCACCGCCGTGGGAGTAAAGCTGGCCTCTGGCGCCCCCTTCCTCCGCTTAGGCGGTGGCTGCCCTTCTCCTGGCGGCGGCTTCGAATCAGGAGCCATAAAAGCCTGGTCGGAGGGCAGAGACAGCTGCTCTCTGGCGCCACCTGGCGACCCGGCCTGAGAGCCCAGGGGACTCTGGTGCTTCGCGCCGATTGGCTGGCTGGGTTGCTGGGCTGGAAAAGCGCGAGAAACTCCAACGGTTTCCTCCGCGGGGGGTCTCCGCCCCCCCTTTGGCGCTGCTTCCGCCTCAGCGGCCCTTTTGTCAGCGGCCTTCGAGGCTCCCTGGCAGGGGAGGGCTGTCGCCTTCGGCCTGGCCGCGGCTGTTTTAGCGGCCAACTTGGGCCCCGCGGAGACTTTCGGGGAACTCTGGTCCGCCTCCCCCCTCGGCCCTGCCGTTCCCGGGTCCGCCATTTTAGCCTCCGGGGCCTCCGGACCAGGCAGGCTCGTTCCTGTGAGGAACCTTTTGCTGCCGCCGCGGCTTTATTTCTCTCTCAGCCGCTCTAGGCTTCCCCCGGGCACTCGTTCGTTGCCTGCGGGGCTCGGTGAGTGACCTTGACGGGATCGGGACAAAGGCGGCTAAAGGCCGGGGGCAGCCAAGCCTCGCCTTTCAGCCGTCCTGCGAAGGCTCCGGAGCCTTCTCACGCGAAGCCGGGGACCTCGCTGTGATTTACGGTTCGAAATCCGGGCAGTAATGACCGCTTCCTCCGTCCGAAGAGCTCTGTCTTCCACCGGGCTCTGCTGAGGGAAAAGGCCGAGTCCGAGACTGGGCATGCGCAGGCCAGGGAGGCGTGGCCTAAGGGTTGATTGACTCCCCCTGAGTTAACCCCTTGCTTTCCTCGGAGACTCTGCTCAACACACGGGACAAGAATCACGTTTCCCATAAATTTTTGCCAGATGCAATAGAAATAGGAATGGGAATAGAATAGAATATAGAATAGAAACAGAATAGAATATAGAATAGAACAGAATATAGAATAGAATAGAAACAGAATAGAATATAGAATAGAATAGAATACAATAGAATAGAATATAAGATAAAATAAAATAGTGGGAAGGGGAATAGAATAGAATAAAACACATTCATCAAGAATCATAAGATGCAACACTTAGTGATAGTCATAGGTTACTCTAAGCCAGGGGTCTTTCAAACTTGGCAAGTTTAAGACTGGTGGACTTCCAGTCCCAGAATCCCTGACCTAACATGATGAGGAATTCTGGGAGTTGGAGTCCACCAGTCCTCAAGCTATCACGTTTGAAGACCCCTGCTATAAGCAATCTAATCATACATAGCTTATTAATATACAATCAAAACATACTAGGAAAACAAAACAATATAAATTGTAAAGATATAAGCAACACAGGTTACGAATAGAATAGAATGAATAATAAAATTTGGAACTAGGATAGGATAGAATTCTTTTATTGGCCAAGTGTGATTGGACACACAAAGAATTTGTCTTGGTGCAAATGCTCTCTGTATGCATCAGAAAAAATAAAATACATTCATCAAGGTTCATAAGATGCAACACTTAGTGATAGCCACAGGTTATGAATAGAACAGAACAGAATATAGAATAGAATAGAATGCAGAATAGAACAGAAATAAGAATAGAATAGATTGGGGAAGACTAGACTGGAACATGAGGGCAGCTGTGGTCCAAGATGGAGACTCCCCCCCCCCCCCTCCTGTGTTGCGCAGCACCCTGCACTCCTGCTGCCCCCTGGTGGTCCGGGCTGGTCATTGCAGCTCATGTAGACTGGCCGTCCAAGAGAGATGCTAATATTTCCACTCGGAGAAATCGTGCAGCCGTTTCCCTTCCAGCACCTGCCTCCCCACGTGTGGGAATAGGGGAAGCCAGAGCACCGAAGACCCGCGCGTGGGAGGCAGAGATGCTGGAGGAAGAAAAGGGCACCACTTGGAAAAGCCTCCAAAAGGGACGCTTCCGTCTCTTCCGACAGAGGGCGCCGTGATAAAAAGGCGGTGCCATAAATCGTGTAAAGCAGGGGTCCCCAACCACCGGTCCGTGGACCGGTACCGGTCCGTGGAACATTTCCTACCGGCCCACCGGTTTGCTGGGTGCCGCCATCTTGTTTGACGAGAAAGTGCTTCCGGGTGAGCTTTTCCGGTTGGAAAGCGGTATTTGGGTCCTGAAGGAATCCTCGCGCCTTAGTTTCATCGAAGGGGGGGGAGCTTCGAACGAAACTAAGGCTCTTTCAGCACCCAAGGCAAGGCGAGCCGAGCGACCGCCCCGAAGCCATCCCGAAGCGAAGCCCATCGACAAAGGTACAAAGGAGTTGAAGGTGGCGGGGAGAAGCGGGGGACGGCTGGCTGGCCGGTCGCTCGGCTCGCCTTGCCTTGTCATGCGTGCTGATACCGGTACCGGGCCACGGATCATTTTGTGATGCCGGTACAGGGCCGTGGCACAAAAAAGGTTGGGGGCCACTGGTGTAAAGCGCCTGCCTATATAAATTGCGCCTGCAATTGCTACAACAGCGCCCTCCCTCCCTCCCTCCGGCTGCCTGGGATTGGATCCTGGGCCGTGATTGAAGTCCTCAGCTCCATCTCGTGAGCGAATCAGACTGGAGAACACATAAACAGAAAAAAGAAAAAAAACCAAGGAAGGATACTCGTTTCTATTGGATAATTGCCGGAGTCTCAAACTGGATTCCTTAAAGGGCCGCCGTTCAGGAAGCG